TTCTCCCATGTAAACTATCACATAATTCACAATAAATCATTAAAAAAAAAAGAAGCATACCAAAAAAGAAGTACCAAAATTAACACTGTTGCCAAGAACCCTAACAATTAACAAAAGAACAGAAAGAAGAAAAAAAAAGCCATAGTCTCCAGGGGAAAGGAACTAATAAAGATTAGAGTACAAATATATGAAACAGGAAAAGCAATAGAATCAATAAGACTAAAAGTTCGTTATCCTGGTTATCCACAAAGATTAATTTTCCAATAACTTGTCAAGTTTGCTAGACTAAGAAAAAGAAGATGCAAGTAAATAAAATGAGGGATGTCACAAGAGAAATGAAAAGGACAATAACAGAATACTATCAGGAACTCTGCTCCAACCAATCTGAAAACATACAAGGAACGGACGAATTTCTAAAAATGTATGACCTACCTAAATTAACACAGATGGGGGTAGGAACTTTGAACAGACCCTTAACGAAAGAAACTGAACACATTACAAAACTCTCAACCAAGAAAAGGTCCTGGTCCAGACAACTTCCCTACAGAAATCTACCCAATAATTATAGAAGAGTTGCAGCAATTCTATTCAAACTGTTTCAATGAACAATTTCAATGAGGGAATAACCCAAATTCATTTTATAAAGCTAGCTTAGCCCGATATCAAAGCCAGGTAAAGACACCACTGAAAAAGACAATTACAGACCAATAGGCCTCAACATAGACATAAAATTCCTCAAGAAAACCCTAGCCAACAGAAGCCAATAATAAATAGACAAACAAAACATCATGCATGACCAAGTGGGATTTGTACCAGCAATGCAAGAATAGGTTAGCATCAAAAACGGATTAACATAACCCACTACCTAAAGAAAACAACAACTTTCTCATTTCAATCATTGCAAAAAAGGCAACTTAGACATTGGCTATCAAAAATGTTTGGCCTGCCCTCTAAGACTGTAACTCAAAGGCAACACATGAGTAGGCATATAAGCTTGCTGAGTACCACAATGGTCTACTGGTGAGTGGAAAAGGGGGAAAGGCAGCAATGAAGAAATGGGCTGAGTTCAACCATGGTCCATAGACTCCCACTGACCCGGAAATGAGAGAGGGAAGAGGAAGGACTGGTTGGTCCAAAGTGTGATGAGACCTGGGGACACCTGAGCCCATGGACAAGGACATGGCCACAGAGGGCTAAAGCTGAGAGTGAAGCATCCAGCTGATATTAAGTGAGGGGAGATGCACAAGAACACCCAAACTTGCAGACAGTACCCATTTGACCTAGCCTCGATGGCTTGATAATCAGAACTCAACCAGAGGAAGATAAAAACAAAACAATTTTTGAAAAAGGAAACAAGGGTGAATTGCTACAATCTGATGAACCTGACCTCTACTCATGGAGGTAGTAACTCTAAATACCAACAGAGGGAAGGAGTCTTCACATCAAGTATCAATGCTATATCCTCTCTGTACACAGGATAGATAGGGACGGGCAACTTAGACACTGACTACCTAAAATGAGGGGGCGATAAAAGCACGAAGTGAGTGGTTTACAAGGTTTCAAGGGGGAGTTTAGTTTAAGAGTGTGTGGGGGAAGAAAGAGTCCCCACTGAGTAGTTTTCATCTCGTTTAGATGGGTCTGGTTAAAAGAGATGGGAACATGATTCTTATGATTCAACAGTAAGTAATCGTTATCATGACTAATTGTGACTGTCACATTTGTAAAGGTAGAAGTTTTGTAACAAAAACGGGGGAGTAGTTAATCTTACAGTCCAGAAACAGGATCCTAGGATCAAGGGAGAAGCGCACAAGCAGAATGTGAGAACTTATCCAAAGAAGCAGCGACACCAGAGATGGAGGCAGAGATGGGGACATGGAGAGAGGGACCAGCTGAGGACTCTCTAGATTCATGGGAAAAGAGGGACTAAGAGCTGGGGGCCAGGAGGCAGACTTGCAGAATGTGCCCTTTGGTGATATAAATTATTATATATACATGAGTTTAACAAAAAAAAAAAGAGCTAAAGTGAATAGAGAGAAATACTGTTAACTGATAGTACATGTTGTTGTTAAGTGCCGTCGAGTCGATTCTGACCCACAGCGACCCTATATAGGGTTTCCAAGAGCAGCTGGTAAGCTTGAACCACTGATCTTCAAACGACTTTGCAGTCTGACACATTAGCCCAAAGCGCCACACCAGGACTCACAGCAGACAGGGTGCCGCCATCTGCTCTTCCCAGCCTCAGTGGTTGCTGTGGTGGGAGGAGACGCCAACACTAAGCCACCCTACACTCGATCTTGACCACCCCACTGTGGATTCACAGTCAGTGTGGACTTCCACAGCGTGCTCGGCAAAAACCACGAAGGAGTTCTGGTGGAGCAATGGCTTAATAACGGAGCTGGTAACTGAAAGATCAGCAATTGGAGCCCACCAGGCACTCATGAGAGAAAAGCGAGGCTGTCTGCTCCCATAAAGGTGACCCCTAGGGGGCGGGTTTCTAGGATATACCCCTTTAGTTGGTTGATGATGCATGAAGGGGATTGGAACCATGGCGATGGAATGAATGTAAAACTAAAGTTCTCTCATGTAATTCACAATTAAAAAAAAAAAAAAAAGCTGGTTAGAGGCTAGGAGCCAGGAACCACTGGACCACAATGGGTCTGTCTGTATGTCAGGAACATACAGACTCCGGTGCAGACACTCCACTGCGGGAACCCATTCTTTATGCCTGAGAGGCATAAAGTAAGTCTCCCCAAATACAGGAGCCCCTCCCTCGCCCCCAGCCTTCATTGGTGGTGGTGGCTGTGCTGCGGAGTTGGTTCCGGTTCACAGTGACCGCCCCCCTACAGGATTTCCAAGGCTATAAATCTTTCTAGGAGCAGAAAGCCTCGTCTTTGTCCTGTGGAATGGCTGGCAGAGTTGAACTGCTGACCTTGCAGTTAGCGGTTCAACTCACAACCCACAGGTTGAGTGTAGCCCCCAACCCCTGACTGATTTAAAACGTACCTGTTTTTAAAGCGATAGCTCCCACCCTGTATGAGGTAGCATTTGGTTGATACTCAAAGAAAACAAGATGATGAGACAAGACTCCCACGTCTGACACCCTTCTCCAAAGTGTGCAACATCGCACTGCCTCCCTGCCCTGAAGCCAAGAGCTCTGGTTTTCTTTCTTTTTTTTTTTTTAACTTCCTTTGTGAAGCTGACATTAAAGTGCTGGGATCAAACTAAGCCTTGGACTGAAGTTTTCAGGCTCTGTGGACTCATGTTCTCTGGCAGGCCAGACACACCAAGTCGGTAACAGGAAGATGGAATGTGAACCTATCAGACAGACACGCTAAAGGGGCACCTCGTGAGCGGCTGCTGGACATCAAAGAGTCACGCTGACCTCTTCTGTGTCATACAGCCATGCTCATCAAGGAGGCCAATCAGATGCCCACTGATCAAGTTACAGAGCTTTGTCTGTGCCCTGAAATTCAGCTCTATTTAGACCGGGAAAAGGGACCAGTGCCCGGAGAAGGCTGGCATGCTTGCTAGAGCAGAGGGTCAGTGAAGAAGAGGAAGACCCTCAATGAGACAGACCGACACAGTGGCTTCAACAATGGGCTCAAATACAGCAACAATTCTGAGGATGGTACAGGACTAGATAGACAGTGTTTCACTTTGTTGTACATGGGTTCTATCTCAGTCGGAACTGACTCGAGGACATCGGGTAACAAGAGATTAGGAAGAAAGGCCTGATCATCTCCGTCCATAACCCCATGTGGGGCGCAGAGGCCCAGGAGACAGAGACTTAATTGCACAGAAGCAGACGATGATAAAATGCCCTTGTTATTACTGTAGGACGTGTTAGGGTATTCTGGGCTGTCGTCTTCACTAGTGTGAGTTGCCAGGCCTTTTCTCCTGGACACTAGGCACAGGCCTTAGCAGAGCCTGTCATTGGGAGCAATGATTAGCCTGACCCTACCCTCCAGCCCTGTCTAGTCTGCTCACATCACCCCATCAAGAGACAGCAATTCTCATTCCACACCCATGCCTCAGATGAAGAAAGGGGGCTTGCACACAGAAGGCACCACTCTGACTCTGCCACACGCCTGGAGGCTTGGAGTAAGTGACCACAGCAGCTGTGTCCTCGTGCATCCTGCCCACTCCGTAGCCCTGTGATCACCGTGGACCCCTACATGTGGACGTTGCCTTTGTGAACAGTGTCCCTGCTGGACGTCCCAGACTTGGACGGCTGGGAGGGAGGCGCAGGCCACAAGGCAGCACGGGCCTCCCCAAAGAAGCTGCGCTGACAGTATTCAAACGCTTAGAGACAACAGGCACCACCGACGGCCTGCCCGCCCTGCGTCCTTCTCACTGCTGATGCTCCATGTGAGCCGGGGATGATGGTGTTACAAACTGGGGGGTGGGGGGGGCTAACAATACATGGAAACCCATGCCCTGCGTGTTGCACTCGGGGCCTCAGCCTCTCTGCCCTGGGGACGCGGGGGCTCTGGCCAGACCACGTGAGAATGACCCCTCCCTACCTGAGGGTCTGAGAAGAGCAATCCTGTGACTCCGTGTGTCACCACAGCTGCGTTCCCCGGGATGTCCCTCGCCAGCACCACTACCTCCAGATCCATCGCCTGAAAGAAACAGAAGGAGAAGACGGGTGGGCGGGGGCCTGTTTGTGGGGGAAAAACTGCTCAGGGCCAGTGGACCTCAGGCGCCTCACAAAACACACATTAAGGGCAAGGTTGTACGGTTGATTGCTGTAATTGCTGTACATCTGTAAAAGGCTGAACTGTCAAATGTTTGGTGATGATCATTTACAAAAAGAGAGAGACGCTAGCTACTGAGGTTGTTTGTGTACACCCAGCCACCACATGGGACTTGGCTCCTTGTTTGGAGACTCCCAGTTTCATGGGACATCCCAGTTAACTGGTCTGTCAGCATGTTTAATGTTTCTGTTCTGTCTCCTACTTGGCTGTGTAGTGCCTGGGGCCCTAAAAGCTAGTGTGTGGTCACCTAAAACACAACTGGTCTCTCTCTGGTCACCTGGACCAACAGCCGACTCGGTGGTAGCCAGTAACAAGGTTTAACTAGGAAGGATCCACTTTTCTCGGGTGTTCCTCCTGTGACCACTCAGGCGTATAGGCCACAAGGACCAGGGCTCTGTGTGTCAGATCAGGCTACGACCCAGAGTCCCACCCTTAGGACTGATGGATTGATCCCATCGATGTCACTGGTGGCACTACGTTAGCTGCCGGGGAGACTCAAGGGTGTGGCGGAAATGGTTCCTACAAGAAAACCAGTGGGCTTCAACAAGTTCGGTGTCTTTTCATTCCACTTTTCCACAAGTTTTTTGGAAGCCCTCTGGTACAACCTTGGTGGTGGTGGTGGTTGTATGCCTAACTCAATTCCGACTCGCGGTGGCTCCATCCAACAGAACAGAACTGCCCCCGAGGGTCCCCTAGGGGCTAATCCTTACAGGTTACCAGGTATTTTTTCTGCAGAACCTCTAGTGAGTTACAGCCACCAAGCTTTCCGTTAGCAGCCAAGTGCCACCAGGGTTCCTTACACCCCAAAGAAGAAGTTGTGGGGTGGCTGGAGGGAGGTTTTTTTCAATAAACTCCAATTGGCCATTTACACAAAACGAAATCTGAAAGTCACCTCCTTTAAAGCACGAAGCCAAGCCGCGTCTCTCACCAAGTCAGGGTTTCCAGAAGGGGCTGGCTCACAGGCTACAACAGTGGTGTGAAGTTAGGGCTGGCAGCGTTGAGTGGCAGACGGTGCTCGGCAAGGAGAGAGCACATCTGTACCTCAGACACATCCCACTAGCAACTGGGGAGGCGAAGCGGGAAGGGGTGTGGATGCGGAGCTGTTTCAAGTCCAGTCCCTGTCACCTGGGCCCTCACCACTTCCCCTCCCCAGGTGAGCTCCTCCACCTTGAGACAGGAGGCAGGAACCTTCCTGTCTGAACTTCCCAGATCTTGCCAATCACACACACTTCCAGTGGAGTGGAGAAGGGTCCCAGGGCAGCCCAGGGCTCGGCCCCCAAAGGTGGCAGCACCTGTGGGGTGGGGGGGTGCCGTCTGCGGTCAGGCTGATTTTTCCAGCTTCAGAGGACCCTTCGGTGCAGACTGTCCTGCCGAGCTGTGTCTGCAGGCTGGTGAGGGGACGTGAGAGGGTGCTCACACCGTGCCTTAGGGACAGCATGGACACTACTGTGCACACTCAGCGTGTTGGGGATTGAGTGTTCCTCTGTGGGCACAACTCTGAGGCAGAGAACTGCCCTGCCCTGTGAGAAGTACCCTGCCTCCCTTCAGCCCAGTCCCACTGACTGAATGGTGACTACACAAGGCGTCTTCCCTTTTCAAAGCGGGGACCTACAGCACCGTTCCCACCATTACCACCTCTGACTTTGAAACCAGTCAGGTGAGTTTAGGGGCTAAAAGCAGAGTCCTTGCTGTCCCTGAAATGGATGGGACAGACCCCTGCCCGAGCCAGAGGGGTTTCCTGGGCTTTTTTTTTCATGGAGACTGCCAGGCCTTTCTTCCTGGTCTAATTCTGAAAGCGCCACCAAGACCTATCAAGCACCAGTCACACACAAACGTTCAGTGACAGATGACAGGTGACTATGTATGAGGGCCCTGGCCAGGAATCGAACCAGTGTCTCCCTTGAAGGCGAGGAGTCTACTCCTGGGCCACTGTGGGCACAGGGATGCTGAATGCCTTACATCTTATGGGCCTGGGAGCTGGGAGGCCAAGAATCCTCATCTTAGCTGAGTTCAATTCTACAAGGAAACCACACTTGAAATTCCACTTGCATTACCATGGAAAATGTTTTCCTTACTGTCTGTGCACCGGCTTTCCGGAGTTCATCAGTAAGAAATGCCTTGGCTGATGGGATTGCTATATGCTTCCGTAGGGAACCGCAGTGACTCCAGAAAGGTGAAGCCCACGTCTTCTGGGGACCTGCACTTACTTTGTGTCTGGTTATTCAAGTCAATTCTAATGCTATGGACTGTTCCCACTTGTTACAGAGGGAATTGCGTCCCCAAACAGGTGGCTCTGGAGAGAATCCCACAGGGCAATGGGATGTCGTTGTTCTGTTCATGAAGTACCATTACTGTAGGGTCTGTCTCGAGTCCATCTGTCCTAAGACATAAAAAGACACTGAACAAGGGAGCAGAGAGAAAGCGCAAGACAGATGCCAGACACACGTGAAGCTGTGCAAGGAGCCGGAGCTGACAGAGGAAGGACTCTGAATCCAGACTTCTGGTCTCTTAACTGTGAGAGCGAACACCTCTGCGTCTCTGTCACAGTGCGCTGGAGGACGACGAGACATACTGTTCCTCTACCATCCACTTCCTTGAGGTTCTCCTGGAGTTTGCCGAAGGAGGTCACTCAACATTCCCAGCGGTCACAGTGCCTCACAGTGGTCTCACCTTGGAAGTCAGTGAGGTGGACGGCAGTTCATCTGTGATGAAGTGCTCTGTGCGTGTCTCATCAGCCCCTGGAATATATTCTGCTCCACATGGGTCTCAGAAGACAAAAAGCAGATATACACATGTACAAACACACATGCAGACATGTGCGTATTTACATACCAGGGTCCCTTAAACATATATGACGAGCCCTCGGGGTATAGGAAGGAGCTCTGGTAGCACAGTAGTTACGAGTCAGGCTACTAGCCTCAAGGTAAGCAGTTCATACTTACCAGCCGGTCTGTGGGAGAATGCTCCCATAAAGATTTACAGTCTCATATACAGGGTTGCTATGAGTTGGAACCAACTCCACGGCACACAACCTCCACTACCGGTAGCATAGTGGGTTATGAGTTGGGCTTCAAATGGCAAGGTCAGCATTTCCCGCTCCATTGGAAAAAGATGAGACTTTCTATCCATTCCCAGTGCCTTGTTCTTTGCCTATGCCTTCAGCGCACCATGGACATCTTCTTTCCGTATCACTGGCTCTTGATCATATGCTATCTTGTGAAATGAATGACCATCGACCATTTCTTTTTGGTACACTTTGTGTATTCCTTCCATTTTCTTTTGATACTTTCTGCTCCACTCAGTTTTGTGACTGTGTTGTTGTTAAGTGCTGTCGAGTCGATTCCGACCCATAGCAACCCTCTAGAGGATATCCAAGGAGCGAATGGTGAGCTTGAACCACCAACCTTGCAGTTCAAACCGACTTTTCAGTCTAGCGCATTAAGCCACAGCACCACACCAGGACTCCATTTTGCCCATAGACTCCAATATTGCCAGTCGAGGCTTGAATTTTTTCTTCAGTTTCCTCTGCCTGAGGAGTGGTGAGCGTGTCCCTCCCTTTTGGTTTGCTAACTCCAGGTCTTTACACATTCCATCATAATTTTTGACTTTTTCTCCTTGAGCTGCCTTTTGAAATATTCTATTCAGGCCTTTTACCTCCTTATTTCTCCCATTTGCTTTAGCATCTCTATGCTGGAGAGCAACTTTCAGAGTCTTTTCTGACATCCATTTTGGTCTTTTCCTTCTTTCTTGTCTTCTTAATGACCTTTTGCTCTCTTCATGTATGATGTTCTCAATGTCATCCCACCGCGCTTTTGGCATTTAGTCTTTAGTGTCTAATGCATCAAATCTGTGCTTCAGATGATCTCTAAATTCAAGTGGGTTTTGTTCACAGCCATATTTTGGCTCTGGTGGACTTGTTTCAATTTTTTTTCAGCTTCTGCCTGAACTTGCATATGAGCAATTGATGGTCTGTTCCAGTCTTCCCCTGGCCTTGTTTTGGCTGATGGTAGGGAGTTTTCCCACCTTGTCCTTCCACAGATGTAGGGAATTTAATTCTGTGTATTCTGTTTGGTGAGCTCTATGTGTATAGTTGTCTTCATGTTGCTTTAAAATGGTATTTGCTTTGAAGAAGTCATTGATCTTGCAAAATTCTGGCATGTGATCTCCAGGACCATTTCTATCACCAAGGTCATATTTTTCAACTACTGATCCTTCCTCAGTGTTTACAACCTTTGCATTCCAATCGCCAGTAATGATCAATACATCTTGAGTTCATATTTGATCAATTTCAGAATGAAGATGGTAGAATTCTTCAATTTAATCATCATTGGCATTAGCAGTTGGTGTATAAACTTTAATAATGATGGTGTTAACTGGTCTTCCTTTTTGGCGTATGGATATTATCCTATCACAGACAACGATGTACTTAAAGACAGGTCTTGATGTTCTTTTTTATGATGAATGTGATGCCATTCCACCTCAGTTTGTCATTCCCAGCATAGCAAACCATGTGGTTGTAAAATCAAAATGGCCAATGCCAGTCCATCTCAGCTCACTAATGCCTAAGATTATCAACGTTTATGCATTCCATTTCATTTTTGACTATTTCCAATTTTCCTAGATTCATACTTCGTACATTCCATGTTCTGATTATTAAAGGACGTTTACAGCTGTTTCTCATCATTTTGAGTTGTACCCCATCAGTAAATGAAGGTCCCACGGGCTTCTCTCCCACAGGCTTTACTCCATTTGCATCATCACCGTCAACTCTACCTTGAGGAGGCAGCTCTTCCCCAGTTGCATTATGAGTGCCTTCCAACCTGAAGGGCTCATCTTCCGGCACTCTATCAGACAGAGTTCCACTGTTAGTCATTAGATTTCCAGTGACTAAATATTTGGAAGTAATACATCTCTCCTTCTTCCTAGTCTGTCTTCCCCTGGAAACTCAGCTGAAACCTGTCCCCCATGGGTGACCCTGCTGGTGTTTAAAATACACATGGCATAGCTGCTTCCAGAATCACAGCAACATGGAAGCCACCACATATGACAAACTGACAGATGAGTGGCGGCCATATATACATAAATATGTATCTATTTACATACAGAGGGACAATCAACTCCTGGTTGTGTGTAAGGAGGAGCACTTTTAAACCCTGTAACAAGAGTGACAGGCATAGGCCTTGTGACTGTGAAAAAAGCTAAGGACCCAAACGCTCTCACAGTCCACATTAAGGACATGTACGTGAGCACACACCTGTGGCACGTCCACACACTCAGGCTGACGAGCCTACTCTCCCCTCCCCTTAGTGCCCCTGCCCCCAGCCCATTGTCTTTGCTTGGCTAAATGACCCGGCCTGTGTCTGCTATCAGGCCTCTGCTAAACCTTGGGAGCACAGAAAGATGCCGAAGCAATCAGGAACAAGGGGGCGCTGGAAAGCTAAGGAACCCTGGTAGCCCAGTACATTAAGCACCAAACTGCTAGCTGCAAGGTTGGGGAGAAAGATAAGGATGTCTTTTTCCATAAAGCTTTACAGCCTCGGAAACCCTAAGGAGCTCTCCTGCTCTGTCCCTGAGGTCACTGTGGGCCGACAACCCCGTGACAGCAGTGAGTGTGGGTGGGAAAGCACACCTTCATCCCACTTCCTGTCCCCACCTTTCACGCTCCCCAGTGTCCTTCACAGACCCGTGCAGGCCCAGAGGCATGGACATCCCAATTTATGTCCTTTTGTATCTGCCAAGAGAAATTAATTAAGCGAGATGTTAAATATTTTAAGTCCCAGTTAGAACTTCAAAACGATGTTGGAGGTCTCCAGGCCCGGCAGCTTTGAAATGGGCGGAACTCTACTGACAAGGGCTTCGCCTCCTGGGGGAGGCCAAAGTGAGACGTACGGCCTCATGCTAGGGGCGTGGCCACACCCCGACGCTCGGGGACGTCATACCTCCAGGAGGGCGGCCGACATGCCCTCGGAGACAGAGCTGTTAACCACCGCGAAGCAGTTCTTGACCACGGCGTGGAGGTCTTCTCGGGGCATCTCTCCGACCAGTCGGACCCCGGCGCTCCTGGAACGACAGGGACAGCAGCCGCAGCTCAAGGAACATGATGGGTAAAGGCTCCATGGAGGGGACGAGGGTCTCTTCTTTGTGAGGAAATGCACAAGACAGGGGGCGGCCGAGCTACACGTGTCGGGTGGCGGTGACAGGCGGGGAACGAGGGCTCCACCGCGGGGCCTGTAGATGGACAGACGTCGTTCCGGGCCCGACACGCGGCGCCCGAGGGCTGTGGGCCCGTCTCCTAGGTACATGGGCGGCACACAGGGTCACTGCCCGGGGTCACCGCCTAGGGACGCCGCCCCTTCCTCCCTCTATTGGGACCCCGGCGGCACGGGAGAACCCTGAAGCACGGCGGTGCTCCACTCAGTGCTGTCGGGTTTGTGAATCAGCGCTGGCTCTACGGCTGTGGGTTTGGTTTTGGGCTTTGGTCCCTAGGGCCACAGGGAGGCTGAGGACACCTGATGGCCACTCCCACTTCCGCTCTGCGAATCTGCAGTTCTTTCTTCCTCCTACCTTCTCACTTTGTCCTTTACTTCCCGTGTGAACACTGGATCGACCTGGAGAGAGACAGAACAAGACTAAGGAAACCCGACAGGGGGCCAAGTCCCCAGAGGTCAGCAGGTGGCGCCACAGACCCAGGCCCGCACCCCCAAATGAGAAATGCCAGTCTTTCCTGTGGCCAGCTGTTCAGATCAGGAGCGCACTAATTCTGAACCAGGGAAAGAGAGAAAAGAGCGCTAAGGATGGAGAGGACCTGCCCGTCTACTGTGGGAACCAGCGATGCCGGTGCAGGGAGGAGCCCCAGAGCCACCGCCGAGGAAGGTGCAGTTCAGCCTCCGGGCAGTGAGTCCAGCTCTGAGCCACTCAAAGACAGCATCACTGAGAAATACATTCTATTATTAGCAAAGAGTTTTTCTGAAATCAGGGTTTAGAAGTCAACTGCACACTGAGCAATTTGCGTGCAAATTGTCAAATGGGAACCTAATTTGCTCTGTAAACTTTCACCAAGAACTCAGTAAAATATTATTAAAAAAGAAAAAAGCCAAGTGTGTGTAATATTCATTGTAACCACTACAAGAGAAAATATATTTAAAAGGGGAAAAAAAAAACCAACAGACACAAAAGGAAAGCAGCTGGGAACCAAAAAGACTATACCTCCAATAAACCATTACAACACAGAACCAATCAGTGCTAAAGGACACACAAAAGCCTTAACACACCAAACTAAACGCTAGAATGGCAGCAAGATGTCAGTGCTTGTCAGTGATCACAGTGATTGTAAATGCACAGGAGGAATTTTCAAAAGCAAAACATAATGAATTCTATACTGTTTAAAAAGACAAGCCTTAAACTTAAGGTCACACATAGGCTGAAAGTGAAAGGATGGGGGTAGGGGGGAAATCCCACACAAATAATAATCAAAAGAGCTGGGATGACAATCTCAGAATCCGACAAAACAGACATTCAGGCAAAATCTGTCTGAAATGATAAAGATGGATGCTACATAGTAATGAAAAGGTCGGTCAAGATTGAAAATCATAAATGAACAATAGGCTTCAAAATGTTTGTGAAAATAGAACTAAAATATCATAGAACTTTTCTCACAAACTTTCCGAAACCCCATCTACATGCACCCAACATTGGGATGCCTACATCTACAAAGCGGATAGAACGGAAGGGCTAGAAGCCAGTGCTGCAATAACAGCTGCCGCACAATGATAGTCCACACTCACTGTTACCCGGCAGAGCATCGAGAGAGCTGAGCAACAATGAAATGCAAAACCCAAATGACACAATAAGCCAACTACGCTTAACCAAAATATACAATTGTTGTTAGGTGCCATCGCGTAGGTACCGACTCATAGCAACCCTATGCACAACAGAACGAAACACTGCCCGATTCTGGGCCAACCTCACAGTTGTTGCCACGCTTGAGCTCATTGATGCTGCCACTTTGCCAATCCATCTCCCTGGGGTCTTCCTCTTTTTCTCTGACCCTGCACCTTACTAAACATGGTATCCTTCTCCAGCAACTGACTGTATGTCCAAAGTATGAGAGACAAAGTTTGGCCACCATGGCCTCCAAGGGGCACTCTGGCTGCAGTTCCTCCAACACAGACCTGTTGGTTCTTTTGGCAGCCCATGGCACTTTCAATATTCTCCTCCAACACCATAACTCAAAAGCATCAATTCTTCTACGGTCTTCCTTATTCATTGTCCGGCTTTCACATGCATATAAGGTTATTGAAAATACCATGGCTTGGGTCAGGTGCACCTTAGTCCTCAAGCTGACATCTTTGCTCTTCAACACTTTAAAAAGGTCTTGTGCAGCAGATTTGCCTAATGCAATGCATCATCTGATCTCTTGACTGCTGCTTCCGTGAGTGTTGATAGTTGATCCAAAAAGAATGAGTCCTTGACAACTTCAATCTTTTCTCCGTTGATAAGAATGTTGTTTATTGGTCCAGTGGTGAGGATTTTTGTTTTCTTGACATTGAGATGTAATCCATACCGAAGGCTGTGCTCTTTGATCTTCATCAGTAAATGTTTTAAGTCCTCTTCACTTTCAGCGATCAAGGTTGTATCAGCTGCATATCGCAGGTTGTTAATGAGTCTTCCTCCAATTCTGATGCCACGTTTTTCTTCATATAATCCAGCTTCTCGGATTATTTGCTCAGCATGCAAGTTGAATAAGTATGGTGAAAGAATACCTTTATTAATTTTAAGCCATTCAGTGTTCCCGTGTTCTGTTTGAACAATTGCTGCTTGGTCCAGGTACATACCCCACCCCAAACCAGCACAGTACTGATCCTACTCCTGTGCTCAAGGGTCGTGTCCAGGATGGACCACATGTTGGGTCACAGGGAGCAAGTCCTGATAAATCTTTAAAGACTGAAATCATACTCAGTATTTTCTTCAACCCCAGCAGAGTGAAGCTAGACATCGGCAGCAGGGGAAAAACTGCAAATAGATTCGGCCTGCTCCTTGAAAACAAGGACAGCAGGACTTAAGCCCGCTGACCCTGGACTCATCAAGAGGAAGGACCAATCTCTAAAGGAGACATCCTGGTGGGTAAAGTAGAGGATCAGTGACAACCAGGGGCACCCGCCATGAGAATGAGTGGCCACAACAGTGAGCTCAGACAGATCAGCCACCAGGAAGGTGGCACCCAGCCACGGACACCGCTTTGTTCTGTTAGGTCACAAGTAAGGTCACCCTGAGATGGAAGGATGTAATGTCCACAGTGGACTCACACCAGCCACCATGAAGATGGCGCATTTCCCGTATGGAAGGTTACCGCCATGTGTCCGCCCTGACTGAGAATCACAGGTAAGTCCACCTCACCACCCACAGGCTGCTGAGGATGAGGATGAGGATGACGATGTGGAGGAGAGGATCGCATTTGGTTCCTCCAACTGCAAACTCAACACCACCCCTGCTACTACCGCCTCCGGGAGGCCAGGGCTCTTACCCCCCACCACAGTATTCCAACTCCACGCTGTCACCCCAGCGAACGCAATTTTAAGTTACTAGAAAAAATTGTGAACTCTGTGTAAGTGTGACACAAACTTCCAAACAGTTTCCTCTGAGATGTGGCAAGGAGGGTGCAAACACACTGTTGTAAGCATCTGAGCTAGGAATCTCACTCCCGCTCCCTGTGAGCAAGGCGGGAGACCAGAGGCGCTTTCGATTCTCACTGACACCCTATCAGCCAGCACTGTGAATTCCACAGCACAAAAACACAGGTTTAAGGAACATGGTAGTACCCCAGCAGTTTACAATGCTAACAAAGTAATGTCAGGCTTTCTGGGAACTTTACTTCTGCTTCTTAAGACAAGGAAACACTTCCTGTGTGTGCTGAGCCCCACAACTTCCAGACAAGCTATGCGGTGAAGATCTGACCCCACTGGACTGGGAATGTGACCCTTATTTATACCCCTGAGATCAAGGCATCACGTTGAAGTTAATGCAGTGACTGTGGATGTGTGAGGAGACCGAAGAAAACAATTTCTAAAAGCAGTTTCCATGAGGAAAACTCACAGCCACACAGATAAACTCCAAACCCAAACTGTCAAGTCAACTCCTACTCCTAGTGACCCTGTCCAACGGAATAGAACTGGTCCATAGGGTTCCCAAAGTGGTCATCTTCACGGGAGCCGATTGCCTCGTCCATCTCCCATGGAGCTGCTGAGGGGTGTGAACCACTAACCAATAGTTACTGTGTTGCCATTTACCACTGACTCGGCACTGTGGTCCTCTTCACGAGGACCCTGTTCCCCACAGAGAGGTTGTATAGCCCTCCCAGGACCACACAGCTAGGAGGCTGCTCTGTCAGCATCCAGATTCAGTCTGAGGTCTGGAAACCTGCCAGTGCCTGACCCACTGTGCCACCACACCAAAAAAGAACCAGACACCCCACTGCTGCAGAGTCGATTCTGCAGGACTGAGCACAGTAGACCCTTTCTGGGAGCAGACAGCCTCATCTTTCTCCACTGAGTTGCTGGTGGGCTCTACCCACTGACCTCAGTGAGCAGCCCAGCACTGAACCCACTGAGCCACCAGGGCTCCTGATTTCATCAAACAGTACAAAAAAGGTTCAGAGAGATCATGGAACCCCTACCTCCTCATTTCCCTGCCCACCATACACCCCACATCCTCTCCTCCCTCCCACCCTCTTAGTTCTGGGCCATGTTCTCCACCAGGAGTGGCACCTGCTGCCCCAAACCTACCCAACTGCTCGGGCCCAGGCTAAAACCACCCTAACCCAGCAACACCTGCTGCTCTGACGTTTTAACACTTTCTAGTAAGGAGCTCTGGTAGCGTAGTGGTTACAACTTGGGCTGTGAACCGCAAGGTCAGCAGTTCGAAACTACCAGCTGCTCCGCGGGAGAAAGATGAGGCTTTCTACTCCCGTAAAGATTTACACCCTCGGAAACCCTGTACAGGGTTGCTATGAGTCGGTTCCGACTCCACGGCACATAACAACAACAACAACAACAGCCGAGAGACTACCCCATGTGTGTCTGTCTATCATGCTGAGTGTGGCTGGGCTACTGGAAGCTACACCCCCAGGATTTCAAACACCAGCAGGGTCTTCCATGGTGGACAGATCTGATCGGGCTTCCAGAGTGAGGCAGATTAGGAAGAAAGGCCTGGCTATCTCCTTGGGGGAAATGAGGTAGTAAAAACCCTAGGACTCACAAAAGAACGCGGTCTAACGGTGCTGGGGAAGGAGAGCCCTGGGCAGAAGGCCCTCAGAATACACAGCGGCCAGAGCAATGGAGAAGCAGTAAGCAGGACAGGCAACACCGAGTTGTGTTGTGCGGGGTGACCGTGAGTGAGAGCTCCTTCAACACCAAGGAAGGGCAACACCCACCAGACACATTGTTATTGTTGTTTTTAGGTGTTGTCAAGTCAATTCTGACTCACAACAGAAGCAACCCCTGCCCGGTCCTGCGCCATCCTCACCACTGTTACGCTTGAGACCACTGACGCTGCCACTGTACCAGGCCAGCTCTGAGCTCTTCCTCTTTTTTGCTGACCCTCCACTTTACCAAACACCATGTCCTTGTCCAGGGACTGGTAGTCCTTCCTGACAACAAGTCTCATCTTCCTCATGTCTAAGAAGTAATGCGGCCAGACTTCTTCCTAAACAGATTGGTTTCTTCTGCAGGCTCCCTAGTGCTTTTTATAATATTTTCCTGCACTGTAATACAAACGCATCCATTCTTCTTTGGTCTTCCTTATTTACTGTCCAATTTTCACATGCATGTGAGATGACTGAAAAGACCATGGCTTGAGTCACGCACACCTTAGTCCTCAAACTGACATCTTTGCTCTTGAACATTTTAAGGAGGTCTTGTGCAGCTGATTTGCCCAATGCAATACATCATTTGATTTCTGACTGCTGCTTCCATGAGTGTTGATGGTGGATCTGAGCAAAATGAAATCATTGACAACTTCAATCTTTTCTCCACTGATCATGATGTCATTTATTGGCCCAGCGGTGAGGAATTTTATCTTGATGTTGAGGTGCACAACACACTGAAGGCTGTAGACTTTGATCTTCAAAGTAAGCACTTCAGAACATCAAGTCCTCTTGCCCAGACAGGGGCTGACTTATTTTTTTTTTTTTGCATTCATCCATCTCTTCTGCTTCTATGAGTCAGTTCCTCTCCGAAGTCCATGTTGTGGTTGTTGTGTGCCGTTGAGTCTGTTCTGACTCACAGCGAATCTGAAGGGTTTCTAAGGAATGACTGATGGATTTGAATAGTCAGCATTTCAGTGAGTAGTTCAGTGCTTACCCTGCAGTGCCACACTGACTCCCAAGTCCATGGCTTCTGCTAATATTTGTTAAACATAGCTTTCCCAATTCACCGTACCTTACCCTTTATCATTTCTAGTTTCCTATTTTACATTTATTTCTTTGAGGTAGGGGTAAAGATTCAAATTATCCTAAATAGTTGACTTACATAGTAAAGTTCACATCTAACAAAGACATTAGCTTCACCTGGTTTCACATGTTACTTTTCACATACAGATGTCACTTAGGAGGGTAGCTTTTAGTGGGAAATTCCCCTTTGTTTTAAACCTCACTACCAGGCTGCTGGAGTCCCGGTGTGGTGCTCTAGGATGCACACTGGACCGCGAGGTCAGTTTGAACCACAAGGTCGGAGTTCAAACTCACCAGCCACTCCTTGGAAACCCTACTTAGGGTCGCTGTGAGTTGGAACACACTTCCGCTGTCGTACTCAACTTATTTAGGGGGAAAATCAGTCAAGGGGCAGTGCCACGTTTTAGGAGACAGCTAGAATACCCTGTCGTTCAGTACCTGTACAAGCTATATACGAAGAGGCTGGTGGGTTTGAACCGCTGACCGTGTGGTAAGCAGTCTCGCAGCACACCAAGACTCCCCCAGAATGGCTAGTGTGCGCTGTAACTAAAATTGAACAGCAAGGTGCAAGCGCAAACTGCAGCCAGCTTTACTGGATTGTGGCTTCCACATCAGTTCATTTTCAAATCTCTCAGTGAAGCCAAGTGGAACAGAACACAAGATGAAGGAAAAAGGAAGGGTAGGATTTTTATTTAATGGAAGCACATGTTATGAAATTTTAAAAAGCAAAAAAGCATCGCAAGCAAGCAGAGAAAATTCCCATTTCTACCTTCCAAGCTTATTTATTCTCTAACAAAATGTATTGTTTCATCTTCGGGGCTTAAGGAGAATCATCTTCCAGCTAAAAAGTGATGATAGAAGTCATTAAGTTGTCCCGCTTGAACCCAACAGTCACAGCACACCAATTATCAGAGTGAGCAGGAGGAGGTGCCCACACCAGGCCCCAGAGGCACAAACCATGAGTGCCCCTGGGGCTGTGGAACTAGGGGTGGGCGAGGTGGCCTCTCACCCCCTGGCAAGCCACGGAGACTCCACAGGACAGAGCCAAAGTGCTCCCTGGGTTTCCGACACTGCCAACCTTTACAGAAGCTGACTGCCTCACCTGGCTCCCACACAGCGCTTAGCCCACTGTGCCACCAGGGCTCCTGATGCTACCTGTTGTTGTTAAGTACTGTGGAGTCGGTTCCAACTTGTAGCGACCCTGCACAGGGTTTCCAAGGCTGTAAATCTTTACAGGAACAGAAAGCCTCATATTTCTCCTGCGGAACAGCTAGTCGTTTCGAACAGCCGACCCTGAGGTTTGCAGCCCAATTTGTAACCCCTACGCTACCAGAGCTCCTTTATGCTACCTTAGCTACCCATTTTACAGATGGGGAACAGAGGTGCAGGAAGGTGAGGTGAGGTGCCGTGTTGGCCTGGAGGCATCCTCTGACTTGCCTGCATCTGGAGCAATGAATGAATTCATGCACCGTGGTGTGGGAGAGGGGCTGGCAGATTACAGTGATCTTGCTCTGAATTATCACCAAAAGCAGCAAACAAACATGGCACCCACCCCAGATAAAACACGGATATGGCATAAGCTGGTTTTTAGGCTTGCCTGTGAGTGTGTTCATGGATACACATACATGTACATGCAGGTGGATATGCTTTTTAAACTGGTTGATGTGAAGTGCCATCAAGTCTTTCTGACTCATAGCAACCCTCTATGGGTTTCCAAGGAGCAGTGGTGAGTTTGAACTGCCAACCTTGTATTCCAGTGCTTTTATTCCAGGACTCCATTGTTTATAAAGTCAGCAAACAAAATTTAACAAGGTGACATGCTCCAAATCCAAATGGCAGAGAAGGTGTATTTTTATTGGAAAATGAAAACTATTTCTAATTGTACAGGTAAATAGATAGACAAATAGGCAGATAGACGGATGTGATATAAGACTGTTATTATTAAGTAGATGGTAGGATATGGGTAGATAGATGAATGGATAGAGACGATCGGTACATAGATGGTAAGTAGGTAGGTAGACAGTGGAGAACCATGATGGATGGAGAGATGAATACATAGACAGGAGATAGGTATGTAGGAGGCATGCAGGTAGGCATGCAGGTAGATAGATGAATGGATAGTAATAGAAAGATGTATTGATGGACAGATGTGATCAACTGATAGAAGGATGGATAGGTGTATTAACAGTAGGTAAGGTAGGCAGGGGGTAGGCAGACAGACAGATAGATGAAGGATAGATGGATGTGATCAATACATGGAGTGATGGATGAATTGGTGGATGGATGAACAGACGGTAGGTAGGAAGTAGGTAGGCAGGCAGATAGATGATGACTGGATAGATGGGTAGACAGACAGATACACAGAGATGACTAAAGACAGGCAGGCGTGTCTCCCCTAGAAGACCACAGTGAGAAGCACATAGACCCCCTGCAGGGTTGTTAAGGAGCCTTGTTGTTAAGTGCTGGTGATATGGTTCCGCTTATCAGAATCCTATAGAGGGTTTCTCAGGTTGTAAATCTGTGTGGGAGCAGCTGGTAGGTTCTAACCCCCAACCTTGTGGTTTGCAGTCCAGTGCTTATCTTATAGAGCCACTGTGCTCCCAATTAGGGAACCTAGGGAAGCACAACCTGTTTTGAGAGCTCCACCATACTGATCCCTCATTGCCTGGTTCTTTCTCCATGCACACCGTGTGCACCCTTATCACCTGGTTCCTGCCCTGTACATACTGATAACTCATTGTCTGCTTCCTTCTCTGTGCACACTGATCCCTTATCAACTGGTTCCTTCCCTGTGCACACTGATCCCTCATCATATCTGGTTCCTTCCCCATGCATACTGATCCCTCATTGCCTGACTCCATCCCTGTGCACACTGATCCCTCATTGTCTGGTTCCTTCTCCATGCATACTGATCCCTCATTGTCTGCTTCCTTCTCCATGCATACTGATCCCTCACTGTCTGGTTCCTTCTCTGTGCACACTGATCCCTTATCACCTGGTTCCTTCCCCATGCACACTGATCCCTCATCATCTGGTTCCTTCCCCATGCACACTGATCCCTCATTGTCTGGTTCCTTCCCTGTGTACACTGATCCCTCATTGCCTAGTTCCTTCCCCCTACACACTGATCCCTCATCACCTGGTTCCTTCTCCTCTGTGCACACGGATCCCTCATTGTCTGGTTCCTTTTCTATGCACACTGATCCCAAATCACCCGGTTCCACCACCAGGACCTCTAACCCGGGCCCAGGCTTCAGTTTTGAAGAGTGCAAACAGACTTTGTTTACAATAAAGAAAAAATGGGAGACATGTGAACAAAACTCAAGATTACAAAACAGTTCAGACTTACTGGTCAAAAAGAGACTGGAGAAACCTGTAACTATGGCCCCTCAAGCAGCCTTCAGGTCTGGAACACAATTCACTCTTATGGGCCAATTTGTAGCCAAGCAGTAGACAGGAACGAACATAAGCTAGACAGCAGCATTGGTGAGGTACGCTCACAATGGACCAGCCCACTCTGCAAGACCTACAGCGCGGCACTGACCTGAGGACACACAGTTAGGACGGATGGGAAGGAGGGTGGGATGGGAACAGGAAGCACAGAGAGGAAGGGATACTACTGCTGCATGGAGGGAACGGAGAGGAAACCGGGAATATGATTTGCTGGACATTAAGCGGATGATCTGCTCTGGAAACCTTCACTCCATTCACAAGAAACAGTTTTGTTTGTAATCCTTTAGCTGTAACAGCAACATAACTTTTCATGCTAACTGCCATCGAGTCTCCAACTCAGCGATTCTGTACTGGGTTTCCTAAGCTGCAGATCTTTGCAGGAGGAGCAGCTGGTAGGTTTGAACCACCAACCTTGGGGTTTGCAGTCCAGCGCTTTTCCTATGGCCCACTGCTCAAAGGTGTCAACATAACTGATGTTAGAATGCACCCAAAGTCTGAAGGAGAGAGGAAATCAGTGCCCCAGTCACGTCACTTACTTCGGGACCAACAATGATCATGTGCACACTGGGCTCTTCTTGATGCCATTCTTGGGAGGAAAAGAAAGAAGGAAAAATGGTTGTGAGTCATGGCTGGGAACACAGACTTACCTCACACCACTGCACACCACTGCTTTCATTCATAACAAGAGCCCATGAAAATCCTATTTCATTAAAAAGCATACAGTAGACATTCCATCCATTATGCAGTTGGTTCTTTTACCTAAAACACTGGACACTGTCCAGACTTGTAATTTCTTAGAAAGCCAGGACTGACAGGCCGCCATAGCCCGGTGTGAGCTCTAGAACCTACTAAAGAAGGAGCTCTGGTAGCGTAGTGGTTACGAATCGGGCTGCGAACCTTAAGGTCAGCGGTTTGAAACTACCAGCCGCTCCGCGGGAGAATGATGAGGCTTTCTACTCCCGTAAAGATTTACACCCTCGGAAACCCTGTACAGGGTTGCTATGGGTCGGAACCGACTCGACGGCACATAACAACAACAACAAAGAGGATAGCACAGAACCGGGCTCTTTGGGTCTGTTGTGCACACACTCGCTATGAGTCAGAAGCGACTCGACGGCAGCCAACAAGAGTCTGCAGATGAAGTCATAAAATCAAATGCCAACCACATGAAACAAACTGGCATATTTCAGACAAAATTATCTCAGACTTGTAATTGTTTGATGTTTTCGTGATTGCCTCAGAGCCTAAAAGACACAGGAAAGCAGAATCTAGATAAAATATACAGCGCAGAGCTGTTACTACCATAAATTATCTTCCTGCGTTTTTTTAAAGTACAGACTTGTGGGACTGTCAGCACTTTAGAGCCAGTTGTGCCTTTGACCAAAGAAGGAGAAGGAAAGCAGACAAGTCCAACAGGGAGAAATGCAGGGACATGGAGCGAAGAGGATCCCACAGAGAAAGGAACAAGGAAGGAACTTACCTGCAAAGGCATCCACCAAGTAGAGCGGGTCCTTCACTCGTCTGAGTCCACAGATCAAGAGAAAAACGTGCAAGTTGTCAGCACCTTGGGGAATGTCTACAACACAAGAGTTGAGATATTTTACGTCGGAAGGACTGTGGGTGATGATATAGCACCAATGCCCCCACAGACACCATTCAGGGACCCCAGGCTTGTTCTTAATGCTTTCAGGGGTATGATTGCTGCGTGTATCCACCACATTAACATGATTTTCTACAACAGACACAATTGGATTTAATGATGGCTAAAAGAATGTTTCCTTTTTGAAACTAAACAAAAGGTTTGTATATTAATGTACACTTGAAAAGGCACACACACACATACCATCAAGTCAATTTCATGTTTATCAAGATAGAACTGTGCTCCACAGGGTATTCAATGAATGATGTTTCCAAAGTAAGATAGCCAGGTCTTTCTTCCAAGGCACATTTGGGTGGAACTAGACCCTCCAAGTGGAACACTTAACCATCTAAGCCATCCAGGAACACATGTATACTTCTGCACCTGAGTATGGGCCAGCCCGTGACTTCTCTTAACCAACAGAAGGAAGCGGGGGAATTTCTGGGGAGCTTGTGCTGTATACTCCTGCCATCGGGGACCTACTGCCCTACCAGGCACCGGTCAGCATCCTTGACAACGAGGCCCAGCTGAGCCCCAGATGCAATGGAGGGCCCACTGAAAGGGTCAGACCTCGGCTATTGTCAGTAGTTGAGCAAGGCCAGCTGACGGTGGGAAGCCGAGAGAAACCAATCTACCTGAGCCCAGCCAACATTGCCAATCCACAAAATCACTTAAAACTTGAGTGCTTATGACCATAAGTAACTGGACACTTATCAGACAAAATAGAAGGTCCCCACTGCCAGATACGGGCATCCCTCCACTACTGAAGCCAAACAATTCACTTTCACTGTGCTTTTTTAGAGTCTTGATTCAGAAGATAATTCATCAGAAACATTCAAAGGTACGATACCATTATAACCCTTTCATAACCTGTAGAACATCCATCATTCACGCACATATTCAGCTTCCCAGGATTCTTGGGAAGCTATAGTCCCAGTTGTAGTATGGACTTCCACCTGGTGGAGGGCTGTGGAACTGCATGAATCTGAAAACACAGCCTCACCCCACCAATCTTAGTACCCCTTGGGACGCAAGTGTTCAACGTGGTGGTGATGTGCCTCAGAGTCAATCTCGACTCATAGTGACCCTGCATAGGGTTTCCGAGTCTGTAAATCTTTAGGGGAGCAGAACGCCTCATCTTTCTCCCGCAAACCGCTGGTAGTTTCCAACTGCTGACCTTGAGATTAGCAGCCAGATTCATAACCACTACGCTACCAGAGCTCCTAGTTGTATAAAAATCCATGTTTCCTCCCCAAAACATTATTTCCTTGATTTCAGCATGGCTTCCATCACAGAAAATACACGACTGTCAACAAAAAAATCAAAGCAGGAAATAGTTCAGTCATAAACGGGTTGACACAATTACAAAACTTCACATAAAATAAGCTCTAAATAAAACCATTAAAAATGTATCCCAGCCCCTGAATTCAATGCTGATTTCATTGATATATTAATTTATAAAATATTAATTTCATTGATGTATTAATATTAATGTGTGGATTTGTTTTTAATCCTCACAATACTAAGTGTCCTTTAGAAAACAGAACCCTTGGGGACTTATGACAAAATGGCAGACAAGCCACCGAGGGCCTCTATGACAAAGACAAGGGAGATTATAAAAACAGGCACGGATAATAATCCTGGGACCCTGAAGAAAGGTTACAGAATGGATTGGGTGCTTACTCATGGCAGAAGCTGAGCACGGGCAGCAAATAACAGACGGGAGAGTGGACTGCTGGACAGATGTGGCATGGCCATCTTGAACATTTTGGAAGACATTTGGAGACAGACAAATTCACAGGGGTGCCAGAAAAGGTGCAATTATCTTGTTCCCCCCTCTGCCAGGTGACCAGGGGCATGGTCGGTCCCCTTGGCTTTGGACCCCCAGCGCAGGCCCTCATCTCTGGAAGTCTGAGGCTGTGCCAGAGCGAGGCGGGCACCAGGTGTACCTCTTTAGTATCAGGATTCAAGTGGGCTCTGCTCCAGGTCTACATCCACAGAGCCTTCAGGTCAGAAGCAGCCTCACAGGAACCTTCAGAATCAGCCACCTGGCCCTGCTGCCCTCTGGTTCTGACAGACACGGAAACCAGCAGCCTGAAGGGTCTCCACAAACTACGTCCGGAGTGGGCGCCCTGAACTAGACAACACCTAGAGTTACAGGAACTCTATGGAAACCAGCAACCTGAAGGGTCTCCACAAACTACGTCCAGAGTGGGCGCCCTGAACTAGACAACACCTAGAGTTACAGGAACTCCATCCAGGGTGGGGACTCACCCTCACATCACTGCTGCACCCACCTCCTTGTCCAGCAGGAGCCCCCAGACTTTTCTCCTCTCTGGGTCCCACAACTGCACTGGGTTTTTGTTTTTGTTGTTTTCCCCTCCTTTCCTTATTTTTGTTTGTGTATTCTTTCTTCTTCCTCCTCTCTTTCCCTTGCCGTGGTTTTTATAGTTTCTACCTCGGCTTTCATTTTTTTCTTCTCTTGTTTCTCATTTCCCTCTTCTTCTTGTTTCTTGATTTTTCTTTATTATTTGCTAGTCTTTCTCTCCTTTCATCTTCCCTTTCTGTCTTTTCAGTGCTGTTTATTTTCTTTCTTATATTTTCTCCCTGACTTTTCCCTTGTGTAGCACTATTGTCCCGTCCCTGTTTCCCCTTTTCAGTTATTGCATTCTTTTTTCTCCTTTACTTTGTTTTCTCTGTTGTTTGGTTGTTGTCTTCTTATGCGTGTATGTTGTCCTTTTACTGCAGCCGACAGGAGACAGCAGCAGAACCCCTGCAATCCCGCCACAACCGTCCCCTCTGCAGCTCCACGCACTGTGCAAAACCAATACCAGCTCTGATACCACCTGATTGATGGGAGACAGCAGTCAAAACAAGCCAAACCCTCCCTTAAAGTTAGCTCCATGAACAGAGAACGGTGCACATGTTTCCAATCTGTAACCACACGCTCCAGGAGACAATCACCAATTAAACAGAAACAGACTACACAATGTCCCAGAGACAACAGATGAGTCCAGCTCACACAAAAGAACAAGACAGAATGACTCAACAAACCACCCAAACGCTGAGTCAGAAAACATTTCTGAGGAAGACAAGGTACTGGAACTAACTGAAAAAGAATTCCAAAGAATGATACTTAGGTACCTTCAAAGGACTAATAGACTGAGGACAATAAGGAGAACACACCAAAATTTTTTTCATTTAAAAGTAAAAAACATCAAGATTGGGAGGAGATGACAAGAAGTCCCTTCAGGTGCCATATTCCTGATGTGCCTGGCGTGCCTACTCAAACACAACGGACTCCACTAAGTTCATGTGGAAATGCCATTATCTTTCATTCATTCATATTTGAAGAGGAGAGAAGGAAGAAGGCCCAGGAAAGTCTGAAAAGAGGGGGAAAGCAGAGACTCTGTACTACTGAATTCAAAAAGTACCTACAAGGTCCCAACCTAGAAAAACAGAGACAGCAGAGATGGTGGCAGAGGTAGTGGCTTGGAGAGACAGGGCAGCCGCAGGCTCTAGGATTGTGGACTGAGTAAGGTTGCGTGCCTGTGGGCAGGAGGTTGGTTTACAGAATGCGTCCTGTGGAGACTTAAATAACATCTATGTTTTATATGTGTGCATCAAATATTTATGCTTTGTACATTAATGACATGAGTTATAAATGGTGAGCCACAGGGAGGAAGTAGGAGAGCTTCTGTTGCAGGGAGGGGATTATAATTGTTGAGATGAAACAAAGCATGTAATTTACTGAATGTAAAGCTGATAATCCTGTCTGTAAACCTTCACACATTCAGAGACCATACCCAAAGAAATCACGTATTTGTATTTGAAGAACCTGCCTGGTTCTAATCAGGGAAGTTGTGTTTCCTTTTGTTGGTGTTGTTCTCGGACAAGTAGAGTTGGTGAAAATCTATTTTGTTCCTTTGCTTTGACACAGCCCGTACCTAAAAGAACTTACAATCAGGCAAAGCTGCTAAGAGGGGTCTGCACGTACCCTGTGGAAGGCTCCTTGGACAGTCCGACACTGAGGACAAAGCAATCCATGGTTCATTACACTGATTTTCAAATGGCTTTGATGGTGACGCACAAAATCAAAAACCAAATCCTTCCATCAAGTCGATTCTAAGTCATGGCAACCTTGTAGGGTGGAGCAGAATGGCCCGGAGGGTTTCCGAGGCTGTAGATCTTATGGAAGCAGAAAGTCACCTTCCTTCCATATGGATGAGCTTGTGTATTTTGAATGCCTACCTTTCAGTTAGCAGGCCAGTGCTTTAGTCACTGCATCAACAAGGCCTCCTGTGACTTGACCCATGAAGATAACCTCTACATATCTACAAGGATGAGTCAAAAATTACCCACACTCCGGTTACATAAAAACACTCGTCCACGTCCACAGCTGAGGACACCGAGTGTGCACGTGAAAAGATTCTGTCGAAGAGGAGTGATGGTGGCTTATGTGGCAAATCATGAGCAAATCAGGCATGGCTCTGCCTATGAAATCATCCATGACAGACTCGGGTTTTGGAAAGTTTGTGTGAGGGGTACCAAAACAACTCACGGAAAATCATCAATAGAAGCATTTGGACATCTGCAAACAAAATACGGACCACTACTCGAAGGAGAGTACGTTTCTTAACCAAATCATTACTGGTGACGAGACATGGACTCATCCTGATGAGCCTGAGAGTAAATAGCAGAGCGTGGAATAGAAACATCCTCAATCTCTGACCAAGGAAAAGTTCAAAAGTCATCAGCTGGAAAATTGATGCTTATGGTTTTCTGGGATTCTCAAGGCCAGTATTGGAACACTATCGGTAAAAATGTTCATCAACAGTGACCATTACAGTGAGATGCTCACTGAAGAGCTGAAGCCTAAACTTCGGATTAAAATGCAGAGGACCGCTATCCAAGGGCATTGTGACCTTTCATGACAA